TTATCGAAGGAAACTCAAGCCACCTGAGCGCACAATATTAATGGAATCTCCACTCTGTTCACTCTTTGGAATTCATATATATAGAAGAATACTTTTTTTTTTGCTTTTGCTTATTATGTAAATTTTAAGTTCACCTTTTTTCCTGATTTATGTCTCTGCAGGTCTAGTGGAAATTTCATTAAAACTGCAATGCAGCCACTCAGTTTGATGAAGTCTCCGCTCAGATCTCTCTAGCTCCTTTATATAGCCATAATGCCTGCCAATTGCATTTGCTTGTTGAACACCAGGACCTGGCTTTTCTGCTCCTTTGACTGTTGCCTCTCCTGCTCCAGCTGCTTCCGTTGTTCCTGCCACATCCTCTATACTTCCTTATCGGGCTGTAATAAATCAACTCTGCCTCCTCATTTCGCTTCTCGCTTTTTTTCCGCCCCTCCTCCAGCTCTTAACCTTAGACGCATGGCATCATCTTGTCAATGTCGCTGGCAGCCTTCTTTTTTTTTAGATATATGTATATACGTATATCCTGATACGGGATCAAGTCGAGCCTGAGAGGCAACCGACATATTTTCGACACATCATTTTCTATGTTCTAGGTGACGACAGAAAATAAGAATTTTCCATTATTTCTCCACGCCAATGATTGAGTTTTCGTCTTGCCCTCGCATCTCCATTTTCCTTTTTCACTTTTTTCATTTCTCGGAAGTGCCATATCATCAAGTTAAGTAGACGGAATAGAGTTCATAAGTTCATGCTGACATTGCTGAGTGAATTCAGCTGAGTTGCCGGCAAGTTGCAGATGCATTTGTCTAATGCGGCAACTTCGGCTTTGCTATCGCAAGACGAGCAACTTGATTAGCATCGCCAAACTTGCCACAAACTTTTCTTAGCCAGCCAGCAAGTTGTAAGTTTTTCGAGCGCAATTAATTTAAAATAAATATTCATGCTTGGCTTACCTTTTAATTATCCGTAATTTGAAATGCAGCCCAAACCAGAGACACGAGCTAACTTAATTTAAATGTTGTCCCTAAGATTCAACGAACAAAGACATTTCAATATGTCTCAACCCAGCATCCTATAAGAATTTAATTTTAGATAAACGTGTGTGGGAGATATTAACATAATCGCCTTATGAATGTGTCGAGAGACAATGGCATAACTTAAGCCCCAAGAAAATGGCAAATTCGTAAAGTCATAACGTCCCACAGCGACCAGACAATATGACGGCATTTGCAAACTAATTAGTTAGGGTTAGCAAATCTAATTAATGCCCTGGACTTTTGTCTGTGCATTTTAATGAGCTGGTTCTCAAATCGCATTAGAGAGCAGTCTGTGCCGCTTAGAGTATGGTCGAGAATTCTGAAAAATCAATCATCTATGTATCTAGCTTGCGGGTATCTCAGGCACAGAAAGTCTGAATGCATTTTGCATGTCGATGTCGGTGTCCATGTCCTCGATTTGAGTCTAGAGTCCTGTCTGCGGCACTTGGCCTGCTCGTTTATTTAACACTGATTGCCAATGCACACAGAGATTTTGGGAATCGACTGGGAGGCTGCTCCGGAGTATGTTAGTTCTGTCTGTTTTTCCATCGACCCGACCTCAGCAAACTGTGAACTCTGAACGAGTGCCTCTTCTCTGGCAAAATATTGTCTTTAAGCGCCTTTGGCAATTTGCTTCCGAGTCTGCATCTGCTATCCTTTTATCTTTTTGTCTGAATGACATTTTCCTTGGGCAACTCGAAATAGTTTCAATTAGTTTGAATCCTGCCACAGATTCCGGATATACAAATGCAAACCATCAACCCCCATCAAATGCCTCTAATTGACAGTCGGACATATGGGTAATGAACTTTATTGTCCAAATTTAAAGGTAAACTAAAATCCAGCAATATATATTTTAATTGCCAAACAAAATTTGCATGCCAATCATAACACTCCACCAATAAAGCAAAATAAAAGAAAATTATTAATTAAAAGTGCGCCAACTGCAGAACATTAATTACATTAATTTATTGGCCAGGTGCAAAATAAATTACCACAACTTGGCCCAAAAATAGAAAGCATTTTTCAATATAAATTCCAGCCAATTTCCGCTGCCACAAAAAGCGCTGAATAATTTATGGCCCGAAACGATATCAGCATCGGGTAGTTTACGTCTCACTGTCACTATCTTTTTTTTTTGTACAGTTTTTCAGTGGAAAATTCCATTACATATTGATCACTTGACTAAGCACAAAATTCCATTTGCTTACCAAACGAATATAACAAAAAATATATACCTCGTATATGAGGGAAAAAATATAATAAAATGTCAAGCTGAGAAGGTCTGCTGGCCCTTAAATGAAAAACCCCTTTGGAAGGTACAAAAAAGTTACTTTTCAATCAACTTGAGACGGGTTAGCGCCATGAGGTCTTCTCCAAAAGGCTAAAAGGGATAAAGGTTAAGAAAACGACTGCTGGCCGGAGGGGAAGATGAGGCATCAAATTACTGGCTCAAAACGAGGGTATTGCCAATTTAATAAGGGTCAACTGAAAATGCCATTCAAGACCATAACTCTGTACATCTGAGACGAACTAATTGAGACAACTCCGGAGCAGACAAACAATCGCAAATCTACTCGAAATCACTTAGAGCTGGAGATGAGCATCATAATGATGATTCGGATCAATGGCACTCTGCAAATCAAACTAAAGTTGTTTGCTCGTTTGGCCAGCTCTTCGACAGGCCAGCTCCTCCGTCCCTCCCATTCTGGCCAATTGTTATGCAAATAGCCGAGTGCTTTTCCCACTCTCAAGGCGTAGGAGCACAAATTTTTAAAATAACACATACAGAGCCAGAGGAAAATGGAAAATGGCAGAAAAGGATGGCGGCAAAGTTCAAGCCGGGCAATGAGATGGGGAAAATGTGAAATGGGTATTGGTGGGTCTGTGGGTGTGGAGATTTCAGGAACCGCACTAAATCAATATGTTGGTAGTGGTGGCTTTGGCTGGTTGCTTTTGCATTATGCTACTCTTGGCCCTCTTGCCTGCCACTGCCACTCCTGGCCCTGTTGGCCTGTGGTCCCTGGTCCAGGTGCTGCAGATGCCTTCCAACCTGCAGATCCTTGCGCTCCTCTGGTCCTGGGCCACAAATCAACATTTGACTTTTGCATAAATTGCAAGAAGCAACAAAATTGCTGAAAAGAAGAAAAGTAATTTTCTCGCTTTCGTTTGCAGCTGCAGAAGTGCAACCTGGATGGGTTTCGGGACCTCGGTCTTGGGACTGTGGCCCCATTGTTGATGATGCCACGCCCTCCATCTAGCCGTAGCCCCCTAGTCATGCCCCTATTTCATTTCCGCCCACGCTGGCAGCTCGTGATGCCGCTGGGAGCGGACAGACTTTTGTGGTTTACCTGCACATTTCGTTGTTTACCCCTCATGACCTCTCTATGTTAATAAGATGGGCGGCAATTTGTATGCCCTCTCTTAACTATATATACAAGAATTTTATTTTTTAAATTACACGGGAAAAATATTCCTGTAAAGACAATATAGAATCTTAAGAATCTTAACTTGAGTATAATAGAGATATAATTTTTTTAATTGTCTCCCTTAAGTTGTTTAAATAACCCTTTCAATATCTTTATTTTTTTAGTGCCTTAGAAATCTACTTCCTGAACTTCCATTATTTTTTTATCTAGCCCTTAGATCCTAGTATCCTTTCATTTCTTGGGAAAATACCAATGTATCTGACTTAATGCGTATATGTTTCGATTTGCATTTCATTACCTGTTCAAGTTGATGGCAAAAAATAGCTAAAGAAAATGGGAAATAAGGGCTGCATTTTCCCAACCTGCTGCATTTCTGTTTGTATGTTGGGGGGTGAGGGTGAAAAGGACGAAGCTGGTCCTGCGGTAACCAGAGTCCAACGATGCCAAACAAAACTCAACACAATCTGTGCCAAAAGCCGTTGCAAATCGAGCTGAATCAAGCTGAATCGATGTGCGAATGGGCAAGGACAAAAAACACCAGCAACAACAACACTAGCTGAACTAGCAAGGACAACGGCCAGGGCAGCAAGGACAAACAGAAACAGGAAATGGACGTTGTGTGCTCAAGTTTGTTTCCGCTTTCCTTCTTTTGAAATTCAATGCGACGTTTTTTACACTTTTTTTTGTGTAGATCTCCTGCAGGAAAACGCATTGTGTGTGTATGTGTGTGTGTGTGGAGAGTGGTGGGCGTATGTGGGCGTGTTAGTGTCCAGAGCAGGTCCTGTCAGCTTTGCTGTTGCTGTGCACCAAGCAAATGCAAATTTGTTTAAAGTTTATTGAGTGCACGTGACGGCAAACAAAAGTGCAAAGTTTTCCTCCTGGGCTCGGTGTTTTTATAGTTTTGGTTCTCATTCCTAAAACTACCCAACTCTGAATTGCAAATTTCTTGGCCAACTTAAGCATACCTTAAAAATGCATTTTTTTATATGTCTGTAAACAGCTTTAATGAGTGCAATTTGCATAAATGAGCTGGCAGCTTATATGCTAATTTCTGTTCAACAATTTAATTACGGTCCCGAGCCAGGTGCCAAGAATAATAGAGGTGAACAATTTTTTCCAATTATTTAAATACGAAAATTTATGCGGAAACTCATTAAACTAAACCCTTAGCAAGAAATAAAGAGTTTCTTGGTAAAATTGAAAATTTTCTTCAGCGCAAAGTATCCCAGAAATATTTCCGTAATTAAATCAAATTCAATTAAAATCCAGACATCAAAAATTGTGCAAACTATTTTTGTAAAGTTTCCGGCACAAGTGAACTTGAGAAATTGTTTAAAGAATTTATATTGAAACCTCAACACTGCCACTTTCCCCCCAAAAATCTGAAATCTCAGCAAACAGACAAAAATCAAGAAGAAAACTTTCCATTACATTAAACGAAACTTTTGCCAAATTGAACATGCAACTTTGGCATATCAGCTCGCCCGAAAATAACCAAATTTAACAACCAGGAAATCTATTTGCATCATTGCAGGCCAAAACCAGACAGAAGGATGGAAGCCCGATGAGCTGAGGGCCTGAGCCTTACATATACACGATGTAGACGATATGGACGATGTAAAGGAAAGCCAACCTAACCCCGAAAATCAATAAAATGGTAAGTACTCGCCCAGACCATTTTCCATTTTTTTTTTTTGGCTGTGGTTGCTTATTGCAAATGCTTTTATAAATTTTATGACTCAATACTTCCATTGTGGCAATGGTCGATGACAACGACAAGAACGACAACGACGACATTTAACCTACAGAATTTTTCCGAAGCGTCGAAAAGATGTCCCCCCATTCCATAATATCCATTGAATCCAACTATAATTTTAAAGCCACAAAATCCAAGGTTCCAGGGATGCGGTTCTGGCCCCTCCTGGCTGACAGTCTGCCAAAGTGAATTTGTGGCTCTGATGTTGAATCCAAATTGCACAAAAAGTCTGGCTTTGGCTGGCTTGGGTTAACAAAAGGCGGACGAGAAAAATCGAATCGAGCAAGTGGAAAATCGAAAAATCTCTCCTTATTTTCTGCATTTTTTTCTAGCCAACAATGTAAAGCCCTAAATTTAACATTTAAAGCTCAATTAAATTTTTATTTCTCGGGTATTGGGCTATTTCTGGTTAAATATAATTACCTGAGCGTATGCCTCGTTTTTTTCCTAAACTTCCGCTCTTTCTGGCAAAAGTTTTGTAATTCAATTGATGTCGCTGCTTCGGGCGGAAGTTGAAATTTCAATCAGCCCGGGCACAAAACGAAAATAATCTGCAATAAAAATGTTTTCCTTTAATAAAAATTCAATTTCCTTCAAGCGACACATGTTGCCGAGTTGGGAACAGGAAGCAGGACCAAGGATAGAAATAGCAGCGTTTGATAAACAGAGAGGGGGAAGCACTGGTGGGTGGGTGGTTCAGGGAGGTTTGTAAAAGCCAGGAGCTAAAGCCAGAGCCTGGCAGAGCTGAACTGTCAGCCGGATGCAGTTAGGTAAAGGGAACGCATCAGCAAACTCCAGACAGAGGCGGAATGCTGCTCGACTAACACCCACTCGCTTTGGCTCCGCCTGACAGAGTCCTCGCCTAGCCGACCTAGCCGGGAATGCGCGGTACAGCGTCTTTCAATTTATAATGACAAAGTCGATGTGAGTCCTTCCTCCTGCCTGTCTGTGTGTCTGTGTGATGTCTGTTGCATTCGCAATTCTGCATTAGAGAACGGAATAGCTGTAAACAGTGGAAAAATATATAAGGTTAAAGGCTTTTAATATTTAAAAAGTATATTTTAAGATTTTAAACATATTTTTGACAAAATGGTGTAGTTTTATCAAAAGGATCAAAAGGAAAAACACCGTGCCTTTTCTGTGTTTAAGAGACTAGAGTTCTCAAAAAATTATCTAAAAAATATAACAACCTCATTTAAGAGCTCTTCTATCTAATATCTATCATAAATATAAAGAAACTATATTTTTAAAGCCCCATTCACATTTATTTGATAGCCATGACCACAGTAATCGTATCCTAGCAGCAGACTAAATTATTACCACTGTGCCGCAGCTACTCCCACCTTACCCCAAAGCCCCTTGCCCCCAGGTCTCTGTTCTTGCCCCTTACCATCCATCCATCTACAGTCGCTCTGCCCCACTCCCTCCTTTGAGCTGCAGACCTTGCGGAAATGCGGCTCACATTTTGCCATCAGAGATCGAGGTCGTGGGCCAGAGAGCAGAAATGCTGCACCAATGGCCACGACAGCCAGCATCCAAGCCGGCAGACACATCGATGATTGCACATGGCTTAAAGACCCACCAGAGTCAGTTGCCAGATGCCAGTTACCCGGCAACATCCCACCCGCCCCCTGCTTCCAGCGTATTAAAAATACAACGTCGGCAGATACATCAATTGAAAATGAGGCAAGGCAAGGCGATTCGCATCTGTGGCGGACAGCGCAGAGTCGGTGGCAAGTGAAAGGGTAAAAGAGAGACAGGGAGATAAGTATGTTTGGGGGCAGAATGAAGAACCTGCTCCTCAAAGGGTGGGTGGGGCTGGCAGCTGACGTTCGGACGGAGGAGAGCCGACGGGCCGATGATGTTGGCCCGGACATGACAGCAAGTAAGCTTCAGCTGAGCGGGATTGAATGCCAGGAACGCATCTGTTGCTCCAAGTGATTCTTAAGTTTTCAATTTTCCAAATTAACAAAGGAGCATTTTACAAACGATTTTCTCAGTTTATCGAATTGATATCCCTGTGAAAGATAAGTGTAAAGCGAACTAAAACCTCTCAAGTGTATGATCCATAGAATCAAGTTATCTGCAGCCAGGCCGCGTATCAAATCGAATATATTTTTCATTGGAAAATCTGACAATTTGTGGAAGAGCATGAGAGGAATTTTCTCTCGACCAGGCCTTGGCTGCGATAACTCAATTCCGTGGCGTAAATTTGCTGAGACTGCAGATTATCTGCAGAATGTTCAATCTACGGCAGCATCTGTCAGCCGGAGACAACTTGGCCATATGTCTTGGCCATACATCAAGCCAGGACCATACATAGTGGCTATGAGGCTATATCCACAGCCCGGGAAAAGTAAACAAATAGCGCAATTTTCATTTGCTTTATCGTCCGTCTAGATAGAGATAGAGGAAACTTGGCAGGACGAGGAGGGTCCAATCATCCGAGCCCTAATACGTTTAGGCTGCTCATAATCACGCTTCAGCTATTTGAGATGGATTGCCGATGGGTCAGGGGTTGTGGAAATCGAAGGGGAGGCAGCATGGATGGGAAACGCTTCTCTCTACTTCTACATTTTCATCCGGCGGATAGTTCACCCCATTGTTCTTATCGCCTTATTACGTTTCTATTTGTTTTCGGAGGCTAAGACAGCTCGAGGTCCATTCTCGAGATACTGCTTCCAGCTCCTGCCGCTGGCTTATTTATAAGAGCTATTTGTCTTAGCGTCTCTCCAAACTAATAACTTGGCTCTTGTCTCTCCATCGAACGTTTTTCTTTTCATCTTGATTTTTTCTTTATTTTTCCAAGTTTCCATCGCTGCACTTGCAACTAGAAGTGCGCTGAGAGAAAAAACTTATAACAAATTTCATTAAACTATTTCTCGTGTAGTAGTAGTCCCCCATCTTCCACCGTGTCCTGGCCAACTCCTTTGGCTCGACTTCCTGGTCTTTATCGGGCAGCCACTTCCGTTCCACGTACACAAATCACACGTTCAACTGGAGTCCCTCTGCCCGGCTTCCGGCTATTTAAATTGACATCCTGCTACAGGTGACTGTTTCCTGGCCAACTGACTTCCTGTCGCCTGCTCAGTCCCAGTGCCCAGTGTCGCCGAATTCAATTTGCAAAATCATTAACACATTTAGTCAATAAGCTCTTGGCAATGCTCCTGAGACGTCAGGCGGATGGCTTCCCCATCTTCGGAGATTATCATTCATTTTTATGTAATTATGTGCTTACCCAAGGACCCTGGGAGTGCTAAAGGACGACTAAGAGCACGAAATGCTTATTGTCTCTAAGTCTTTAGTTTCCATTTCTTCTTGTTTCTTTTTCTGGTTTGTAATAACCCCTCGAGGGCAGCGTTGTGTTTTTGCTCACGAAATTGTCTATAACTAGCAAAGGATAAAAGCATCCTGTTGTCCATATCCTTGTCCAGCTTTATAAATTATGGCCGCAACGTGTGAGCCTGTTAGCCCTCTGTAGTTACACTGAAGAGCGGTAAATTTTTGGGCTCAGATGGGTCTAAGTGGTATAAAAACATATAGAAAGTACAGTGGTTTTAGAAATTTATATTCGATGGCTAAATACATTTTTTTTTTATCCTTAAGCTCTGTAAATCTTTGCTCTAGTTTGTAGATTATCTTAAAGCTTTACTGAGATTATCTTATCGAAACACACACCACCTTGAAGTTGTTTTAAGTGCCACTGTTCGGGTTTCATCATCAGGAGCAGCTGCAGCCACTGGAGCTGGGCTTTGAAAAAAGGACGAACCATTTAAGTTGATGTGCCTCTGTATAAGTGTGTGTGTTTGTTAGTTTCATAATGTAACCGGATGTGCCAACACAATGCTCGCACATCCGCTTTCTAGACAACAGAGAACAACAGCTGTCACACACAAGCCCCACACATGTGAAGTTAAATGCTGCTGCGCTTTTGTTTGCACATCTTGAAGCGTTGAAGGGAGCGGATCGAAAAGGATAGGGAAAGGGAATGGGAGTCCTGGCCATAAGAATTCCCCATTCGGCTTTGTCCTAGGCCAGCAGATGACAGCAACGGGCGCATTATTAGAAGCAGCAGAGCATATAATAGGGGCATTTCATAACAAGGAGGCGTGAGTCCACATCCAAGCACACAACGGCCCAACAACAGTCTCTGACATAATTATTAACTGCATGGCTGTAAGTAAATATAAAGCGACCAAATGGGCAAAGATAACGAGGCCATTGTATGTTTATGCGAGTGACTGCCTCTTCACTCTTCCCAGTAGCCAGTCTTGCCAGTCTGTTTGTATTGGCCGGGCAAAAAGGACGAACGAAAGCGGCCAAGAGGAGGATGCCTCGGCAGTGTGGGGTCGCAGTGGCAAAGCCACAGCATTTAGCAGACATGTCACGTGCCGGCCTCATCATTTATGTTTTAGTTTTGGGCGCGCCTGACAAAACTTAATTGATTAAAAATAATATTCCGCAAGCTTGCCAACGTCATCCTTCGAGTTTCCTCAAAGAAAAGCTGAAAGAAACTCGTACATGCTCTGAATTCTGATGAGACTCATAATTATTGATGAAGCCATAAGCTGAAAACAATTGTTGACGGGGAGTTTACTTTTCAGTTTTCAAAGTTTTATGAAGGTTATAATTTTTGGGTTCCTTTTTAATGGGGATTTTACAGCTTTTATTAAGAAATAATGTATTTTACAAAATTAAGATAAAGCTATTAAAATATTAAACCTCAAAAGTAAGAAACTTAAAGTCAAATAAGTATTCAAATCTTTTAAAATTTTATTTAATTTTTTTTAATGTTTTTCTGGTAAATCTTAAATATTTAACAACCTACTTTTAAAGTCACTTTTCTTTTACAAGCTAAACTTTCCTGTTTGGCTTCCGTTTTTTTCTGCTTACTATTTTTC